ATAGTAAGTAGGACCAACAAGAGGAAGTGCGTCCAAGATAGGTGCAACAGGGACCGGTCCAGAATCGGCCTGCGTTAAGAGATGCCACCCCAGGAAGTAACTACCCCTGGGAAATCAGATCTAAAGTTGTATTTTGAACGTCTACCATCCTACTGCAAAAACTCTGGTTCTTTTTATTCAGGTGGTGTGATTAACTGACATTCGTTCACAAGTTGTTGATCTGCATGCAATTAACGCAGATCTTGCCATTGCAATGCTTTATAGTACGCCTTCCATGAGTCGACTAGTGACGTCAGGGAGTATAGGAAAGCATTACATCATGTTTGACCAAATGGTACATTTTTCTAACTTGCATCACCACTGATTACCTGGAATAAACAATATCAAGGACATTCAAAGACCACCACATACCAATTGTTAGAACAATTTTCCTTTCTCTTCTCAAGATATACAGTTATTAAAACTGCAAAGCATAAATATAGTGAATAGCTAGCCATCCGATTGTAAAGGGTCCTGTAGAGGTCATTCAGCATGTTTTAGAATGTCTTATGAGGAGCTTTTTTGTCCAAATCCGGAAAAGGCTGTGTCTAAATAAACGGGAAACTAAACAATTCCGAGAGTATGAATAGCGAACCATAGATCTTCATTACAATCACAGTTAGTCAAGTAGGCGTACATTCTGATACTGTTCAGCTTTTGTTCGTAAGTTAGATAGAATACAGTCGAACGAGTCCGTGTGTATTGGCTAATTCTCCTGTCAGTGTTTGGTCTATTGGAGTCATCGAATTGGTTGAAAAACCGGTACCGATTTACCAAGATATAGAATTCTCCCAATGTTTCCAAAAAACTTACTATTTTCCTTTTGTGTCAAGCAATTTCATAGTTAGCTCTTGAATCTAAAAATAGAAAAAAATGGAGTAAAAATAGGTTAAGTATTACATAAAGTTTATGTGGCAGTTAAGACCATGTTTTCCCGTTGCAACTTTTTCTTAAGGGCAGAAGATAAACAGATAGAGAAATGCATCAGGATAGGAAGAAACTTCAGGCTAGCTGAGAGTCAAAGTGGCATATTAGGGTCAACCTTACCTCTTCATCTTGTTTTTTGATACGTTCAGTTAGTTCGATCCTTTGCTCCTCCAGCCCTTTGGCCTGCAAGTGCCATGAACCCAAAAGTTCACGTAATTGTTCTAAAAATGTATAGTTCGGGAAAAGTAAGTCTTGTTTTCGTTGCAAGCAGTAATGTGGAAAAGATCAGGTGCAGTCTAATTTCTATTGGTCGTTAGTCCTTCACTGTTTAATAGCAGAGATGCTCAAAGGTCTTTCTAACATGATTCGAAATGTCCCGCTTTTATCTTGAGTAGGTGAGAGAAACGACTTGACCACAATACATGCATGCATCCCAAAAGAACTCATCGATGATAATTTATCCATGTTCAATATATTTTTTTTGCACCATTTCAAAAATAAGCGTGTTCATCAATAGTAAGTGATTTGGAATGATTAGGAAGAGGAGAGAATTTGGCAAAACCTAGCGACGGATCTTTTTCAATAAGAGCCTTAGTTTTGCCGTTGTAAGCCTGCAGTAATTATTCCGCTCTAAACTGTTCCTCTTGTTTCATATGGCTCTAGTTCTACTAGATGGAATGTTGACACAAGCTTTACTTCAAGTAGTCCTGCCCTGTTTTGTCAACTACATTGAGCAACAGGTACTAACCCCGTTTATGTTTCTCGTAATGGTCTGTTTGAAAACATCGTTGACGAGTATGTTAACCTTCCGGATTCAAACTTGTCTTCCTACTAACCTGTAGACGCGTGGTTTTAAAGAAAAAATTCATAAATATTTTAGTATGTTCAAAGCGGGTTGAAGAATACGAACTTCCTACCGTATGTGTGAAAAAAAGGCAAAAATTCATGAGTAGATGTCCACCTAAACCACGGCATGCTGCAGTAGGTTTTCATAAACAAGACACTTTTTCACTATCCACAAAAATTAAGAGAAATCATCCGTTCGTTTTACCTTAACATATAAGTGAGTTCCATGAAAATTCAAACATGAAACTAGGTGTTCTGATTTAAACTATTGCGCCATACAATGCCTTCAGCGACCTTATTGCGACAGTTTTTAATGCTAGATTGCGCTGAGTGAAGCATAGCAGTGTGTTTATCATACGCTTCAATTGCCTAACCCACCATAGTTTGTGGCTTCTTACTAGAGCTGCGAACTGGAAGTCATGTCATAAAAAGATCCAACAGGCGTCAAGAAAAAGCCACGAACCTTTGTTGATAAGCCTAAAAATCGTACTCACTGATCTTTTGGTTTCTCATATGTAACTGGAAATGGACCTTTATATATATTGACCAGGTTCGTTGACGTATTGCATTGATGCAATTAAAGCGCCGAAATAAAAAAATAATCACCCGGAACGTCTTGTTTTGAAGATCATTCATGGATACCATCAAATCCAAAGATTTATTGCCATCGAGCTTCCACTACTACTTAGACGCAACATTCACTAGACATTTTCGTTAGGGGCTTGTAAAGCTGCATACAGAATGAATTGTTATGCATTTTACAAGCAGTGAAACCTGACAAAGTGCCATTTTCATTGGATATCAGGTTGATTTCAAGTCGCAGTATGACCTTGTGTGGAAACGTACAGATGGGCTGCACGACCGTAAATTGCACATTAGCTGGGATGGCAGTCGGTCGAAGTTGATGATGGACACATTAGGGCACGCTTCAAAGCCCGTAATTCAAGTTCACAAGTCGTTCAGCGTTATAAGTTTGAAGAAAGCTCACATGACAGATGTGGGTAGGGAAATGCAACGCCTATGGATGAACCGCAGTACTGAGCTGCCCAGATGCAGTCTTGGAGGATGATGTATTGTGGTGACAGCGTTTTCAGTTCATCATTATTTAACTCATCCAGTTTTTTGTAAACTCTAGAGTGAATTAATTACTTACTATACACTCATTTGCAAATCAATTTGGTTTTCACGGGAGACTCAATTCAATATCCCGTTTATTATATCCTCCAACTGAATGTGCTGCACACAGGCCGCCTCATAAACATCATGAACGAGAGATTCAATTGAGTCTCCCATGAAAATCATATTGATTTGCAAATGAGTGTATTTCCCGAAAACAGTCCAATTTGGGTTCAAGAAGAACATAAGTTTGACGGAAACTCGGGGACTGCACCTACCTGATGAGCCCCAAGAAGGGCGAAACCGGTCGTGGGCTATCGAAGAGTTTTCAGAAAACTTGTGGATAGTTCCCTTTATGAAAATGTACTGCGATATCTCGAATATCGTGCCAACTGAATCATAAGGCGGCCTGTGTGCATCATGAAGTTGCCTTCCCATCTTCTGAATTGGTAAAGGCAACGATGTTTTACCTTGTGTGCGACCTCATTAGAGGGCCTTATTTGTTGCTCCAGACTTTGTTTGGAGCGGCTTTTTTTTACTTAGATAGGCTAGTATGTTGTCAAGCATTGCTGTCCTTCAAGTACGGTTTCAGTTTACTTTATGAATCTCACGGGTGAAAAAACATTTTCTCCTCTACTGTTGCAGTATTTCCAAGCTATCAGTAAGCGGGTTATCAGCTTCGGTTTTGCTGTGCTTACCGCCTGTTGAACTAACCACGAAGTTGGAGAACTATTGACAAGTTTGTTAATCCGAGTTCACTGTTGGGATGCTGGGTCAGTTCCTGCTGTACCGTCCAGTCATGATTGGCGAGTCTCCTGGCATTTCCGGAAGATCAATGGTTCCTAGATAGTTTAACAAAAATATGCCATGTGTGATATACCAATTGCTTACTCTCATCAAGCCCATCAATATTGACCGATGGAACGACAGATTTGAGATACTCTTCTCGGGCACGCATCTCCTTCATTCGCTCAGCTTGCATCTCTTCTTTGGCCTTCCTCATAATGATATCCTGTAACATAGATAGCGTCGGCAGTTGTGTACTGACTTACACGCATCCTAACATGAATCGCGTCATTTAAAGCGCGAAAACGCAGAGCCATATAAACGTAATAAAACTCTATACATATTTAGCGATTTTAAGAAGTAACAGTCGAACGAATTGATTTTGACTACAATCGTTTTTAGTTATGTTGACAATTGCAGCCATTAAAATGACCCCTTGTCAAATGTTTATGAAATATGTGGATATGCAACTGAAGTAGAATACGAACCGCAGTAAAAAAGTACTTTAATGAATGAAATTTATAATACCACTTACATATGCAATTGAATCCCAATTCTGACTATCTTTGGGGTGGAAAATACTTTCGTTTTGCAGCGAGGTATATCATAAGGACAGTACATATATATATATATATATATATATATGCGGACAAATAGCCTCATATTTATAATGTAAAGATATTCGTAGGTAGCCTTTTCCCGCGAGCACTCAATAAAAGCCTTATCTAATGCGGCAGTGCTGCATTTAACAACACATTGTCTGTGTTCTCCGTCATGTCCGTGATCTTGCAAGGTGGCAATACTCAGTAGGTGTTTCAGGGTTGATAGGCCGATGTTATTCCCTCACGTTTACACCGAGGTCATAGACACAGTCAGTAGCTTATTCATTTCCAATCAAACGGTCTTAGGGCGAAAGCTATGTGAAGCGGTACGGTACAGTGGTCGAACCAATCTTTACAGGAAAGCGCACATTTGGTGAAGGAAAAATGTAATAAAAAAGAAAATCGGCCTGAGTACTGCAGGTTTGAAGACTAAGTAGGGGCTCTCTCTCTCTAGAGCAATCCAACTTCCAACACTAAACAAGTGCCGCATTTCCTATTTAGCTAACCTTCAGGCAAAGCTCCTTTTTTGTAAGCGGGCTAGTTCATAATCATCACTTCTATCTTAGTTCAGACTGGCTCCTTCAGATCTTTGATAGGTTCCTCACGAGCCTTGAGTCTGTTCTGCTTGAATCACACCAAAAAAGTGTAGGTGCTTTGAGAATTCGGATGGGCCCATCAGTATACAGTTATTCAAATTTCTGTGCGAAAAGCCATCTGATTTAACGAATATGTCGAGCGGAACTGGCCCTGATTTCTATTGATAAGCAGGAGTGTCGACCTTTGTTAGCTTAATGCTTTATTACAAAAAATACACCGTTGCAAAACTAGCCAGTTATTCTTCGAAATAAGCGTTTTTCCCATCAATTTGTGTGAAGGAGAAATGATCGCTTTCCAATCCGTCAGCTATCATGACAATAAGGCCATTCACGTGAATTGCTCAGGTATTTTTGGCTGTCATCTTATGCCTACTGACTGTGTTTTTTGTAAATGTGCCTTGAAATGACAGTCACGTCTTACCCCTGATGTACTTGTCCAAACTTAGAAATTGTTTATGATAGATTTGTTTATACTGCTTCTACTCTGCCTTGATTGTAAATTTGAGATCACTTTATGATTTACGGGGGTATGATCCTACAAAACGTTCGCTGAGAAAGGAGTCAGTAGTATCTGAAACGTAGTTATCATTGGAATGTGCCAAGCTGTTTGTTGTTGGACAAAATTCCAGTTATGTCGCCTAGATTTGTGCACGGAAGGAAGAGTGTAAATCCACTATCGTAACATCCGGGAAGATTTCACCCAGAAGTAAATCACAGTGGCTTTTTTCGTGTCGACAGGAGCTCTTCGTTATCGCTTAGTTGCCGTTTACTCTGCCAAACACGCCATCAAAGAATCTTCTCAGTCCTACAAGTAATGTGTTCAGTAACAAGGCTGCTCGTGCAAGCCATATTGTACCACATTCTGTGGGGATTAGTTCATATTCTTTCGATACGATTCCACCATTTCATTCATAGTCGCACCATGAAGACTGCGAATCCAGGAAGATTTATGCTTTACGCATCCATCATTTCTTGGACTGCTAACCCAGAGGATTACAGCGTTTCCCAGGATGTGTAGACGATTATTAACAGCGCTAATTGATGCCGATAAGAATCTAAAAATAGCCATTGGGTCGTTGAATTTTATGTTTTATTGCTGTAATATCTAGTGACGGTGGAGGATATGTTCTGCAATCACCGAGTTTCCAGTGTATCGTCAAGTCCACTGTTAACTGGCTTGTTCCTAGATACTGAAAACGCGATACCAGAGGTGAATCCGTGTTAACGCTTTCCTATGTAGACAAAGCGAAATGTTGTTTTTTCAAACGCATTAGGAGCTTCCAAGTTTACACCGGCACAGTAAACTATGTTTGCTTTAGACAAAGAGATTTTCTGGCCTTATAACCTGCAAGCCGTCAACCTATGCTGGTAGCCGAAGGGTAGCAGAACTCCTTCAAACATGGTAAAAAGTAATTTACATGGGGCATCCCAAGAACCCTCCATAAGAATCGCATATGAAACACGATATAGTTTAAGTGTCATACAACTTCGACTGGATTTATATATCAGCCTTGGTCTAAGCGCTCTTAGAACCGCCACTCTGACTTGTAGAAAAACAAAAATTTATTCCATGAAACGATACTCTCCAAACCTTAAAATCTTTTCATTTCAAGAGATTGAGGAGGAAAATCTACTGTGGATTTTCCCTGCCGGTTACAGATTTCGTCAGCATAGTCCTGCATAGGCTGACGAATATGAAACACAATGGCGGTTGACTGATCGTGTACACTGTGTTGAATGTTATTTATCTACCAAGTCGTTTTTTATAGTGTGCATTTAACAGATATCTTGTCTGAACATAAAATCCCAGTAAAACTAGGCTTTGGAATTCCACAATATATGTTATTAAGCACTGTATTAGAGAAGCAATGTTTACAATGCGTGTCACGATTTCGTTGCACCTATGAGATGGATAGAAATTCATCAAGTACTACGAGTTCCATATTGGTTGGGAAGACCGCAAGTTATGTCAACGTCGTTTAACTGGTGCGAAAAAAATCGTTTTTCAAAGAGGGTTAATCACACCTGTAAAGGCATGATTCAGCATAACCAATGGTTAAGCCTCTTAAGGAAGGTAACATTTTGATGTCAGAATCCTAATTTTGCATCTGTGTACTTAAGCTTAACAGGCTACCCCAATCTGATATACTTCACTGACATACCTTGCATCTTCAGACGCTTAAAAAACCTTGGATGAGTAGCAAAATTAACACAAGATAGACCGTCATACGCCAAAACGTACACGCAAGATCGGTCTCGACAACGTAAAGTAATCAATCAACCCGCAGTTTCACAAGTACGGTGGACTTTACTTCAGAGGTAGAATCAAAAGATAAGCATCTCTCAAGCATAAATGAACGCCTAATGCCTAATAATTCATCCGCACCTTTGTTTCGAGGCTCACACATGCAGTCTACAAAGGTCACCTTGTAGTAAACATGAATACAGTTTGGGTCTAAATTTGCGAATACCTTTTTTGACCAACCATATCTATGAATGTGTGGCTGGTGAGTGCAACAAAAGGTATGCACCAGTAGAGTTTAATCCGTAAGTGCGGGGATAAATGGAGCGACCCTACCACGTCCAATCTGCGTATATCCCGCAACACTGCTTGATACAAAGCGCCTTGTACCTAAGGATCGTGCAATGCTAACTTTGCACGCAACACAACCGAAATAGAACGCACCAAAACTGGTTCAGTAAATGTCAATCGCGCTTGTACCTTTTTCTATAAAGATTACGATTACCAGGGAACCCTTATCCAACTAAACAAGAGTAACTGACAGGCAGTAAATAAACCTGGTATGCACATATGCATTATTTCAAACACTTCTGGATGTATCATTTGTTACTAGTACGCTTGTGTAAAAACTGTTTTTGCCTCGAGCCACCAGTCCAGTAACAAGCTTAGTTCTGGAAGCTTCCTTTAGCATCATTTGAGAACGCGCAAATTAATACCACTACACGATGGTTTTGACGCTGAAACATTGACCAACTAACCTTTAGTTTCTTCCGCCTTTCCTTGCTTAGGCCACCAAGGCCAACTTTTCGATAAGTCATTCGTCTCGGGCTTGGACTGAGACTTTGACTATCGGCATTTTGCTTGTGCTGTAAAGTAAGTAGAAAAATTTCTGAAGATAACGATGGTTAAAAAAGCTCAGTGACAACTAAATAGCTACTACACAAGTGGTTACTCTGGTAGCTGAGTGGGTTCAGCTACGCGCCAAACTATTTGAGGGTATAAGCGATTTGATGAAGCGAGAAACGTTTCTCTGCGTAATTTGCCTTGAAATTTCGAGCAGAATATAACACTTTAGAGAAACACTGATTTAGATTTGCACTTATTTGGGCTGGCGTATTTTGAGTTGGAATAGTCTCATGAGCAGCGGAACCTGGAGCCGTCTTTTTAGTTCATAGTTTTGGCCTTGTTTGTGTTTACATACCGAACTATGTGCGACTACCCATAATTCTCTGTATTTGAGCTGTTTGTTCTGTCCCGATAATCACGGACGTTGGCTTTGTGGGCATATTGTCTACAGAAGGAACGCATCAGCAATAAAATCCTCAAAATAACGGTAACTTTCCTAAATCCTAGCCATAGACACCTCGATATTATATCCATTGAATCGACTATTAGTACAAACGCTAATTTGTTGAATCCGAAAACATTTCGTCTTCCGGTGGACTGTCTTTGAAAGGTATTTCTGACACTCAAAGTGATGGAATTCTCAAGGAATGGGCGACATTTCATTATCCCGATTGTATAAATGGAAGCACAAAGCGCAGTTGCCTAAACACCATGCAATCATAAAATTGCCTTTCCATTCCGAGTGCTCCAGAGTAAGCTGCTTTGTTGTCAGAAGACGAAGAGATGCAACCGCATTACGCGAAAATTATGGGATTCTGGACCGTAGTTTTCATCCTTAATATCTACCACGACTAATTACCTAATCTATATCCAGCAAACTTATTTTTCGCTAGAACTTACCATGTCCGTTTGCTAGTGTGAAAAAACTGTTATCATATCATTTTTCCGTCGATTAAAGCATTCTGATCAGGTCACACCAAATAGTGCTTTTCACTAAGAATTTAAGGCACGCAATGAAGTCGAGGCTGTTGAGACGTTGCAATTCTTGAGTACTTTTGAAGATTTCAAATACATTCCGAGAAAACGGACCAAGAAATGTAAAAGTGTAAAAGTTATCCTTTGATGCATCATGCTGCAAAGCCTGATGTCATCCACTCCCAGACTGTGAGAAGGGAAAATCCGGAAGATGGTGGTGGTTCTTATTAACCATCAACACACTCAGTGAAACACGATTTGGAATCGAAAATATTGGGCCAAATTTTTAACTTACCTCACGTTTGGCCTCTCGTGCACGTTGAACCTGGAGTAAAACGACAAAAATTAGTGATGACAAAAGCAACATATGAGCTCCGGATGCCTGGAGCTGACATCATTCATGGTTGTTGGTTATTGGGAGCTACGAAATGGCTAAGTTTTATCCGAGCCGATTTTGTTAGAGAAAAGCTGGGCGAAAAATTCGGAAATCTATATTTTTCAAAAACTGTATGGTTGGCTTAACAACACTGGTTACCACCGCTACCAACGGATTTTGATTCGACGGCTTATTATAAACGCAGTGAAGGACACTACCAAGATGATTACGTGGTTGTTGCCAACTTGTTGAGTCGTTACTAGCTGGTGAAGATTTTCCGGTCCACGTCCTTATCCAGAAGGTTTCATACTCAGTTTCCTTGTGTGCATCACATAGCTTGCATGCACTCGGTATCAAATAGATGAATTTCGACTGATGAATCTTGGAACGGCAGATTTCTGGTTTATGCGGAGGAATATGGCGCATTTGAAGTGGGTCACTGTGGCTGCCACTGTAAGTCAACGATTCATGCCGAGCCCGCAGCGCCTCTTAATATTCATTGTGTTGTGTGCCTAATTACGACCTCAAAGCAAGTTTCAAGCAGGTATCCCAAAATGTCTGTGAATGTTCTCGAAATAGGCACTGTTGATCGGTAGCTGAAGGAACTAGAGTTTCGAGACTGTCTTCTGAAAATGTCTTTTAACCTGGATGGTTCCTGTCTTTTGCAAGGTCGCGTTAGTATGCTTCGACGATCAAATTTAAGAAGTTCGTATGTCTACCTGACCATATAGCTTTTGTATGCATACTTGACAAAATAAGTTCCTCATCAGTACAACCTCCACGTCATGTGCTTCTTCCGGCTCCAACAAAAAACTGCATGATGAATTTCTGGAGCCAAAACAGCACGCTAGATGATGTCTTCCTATACAACTCGAAGGTGGCTCGATACCCACAATTCACAGCAGTCATGTTTATCGCAGAAAACACGTAAAATTGTTGGCTCTAGTGAGTCTTTTGGCTGCACATCTGGTAGCTGTCAGTTCAGTCGCAGGGAGCTCATGTATTTAGAAAACTTTGATGAAGTAAATTTCTCATTTAATCAATATATGCATATTTCGGCCACTAATATAACTTTGTTGTCTAAAAGCTGCAGTGGGAACACTAACCTGTTGAGATAATAACACTTCGCTCACCATCACCTTTCGTGGAAACCTGAGTGCGCCGCTTATTATAATAAACGTCACACCTATTCACTTGAAAATATGGTAGGATAAAAATCATTTTTACGATCACGGTAATGAAATAATCCTGCCAGAATACCAAATCTTCACTCAGCCAAAATATGTCAGAATCGAAATTACAAAACAGAATAATGAGTGATGCCTTACAGCCAAGTTATTGACCTCCGGCTCAGATGTTCCTTTCGACTACTATGTTTGGTTTTAGGATGCGCTTTATTCATGCTGAACAGTAAAAGCTTGCCCTCAATAATACGGCAAAAAGTGTTTGGAATTTCCATACGAGCTATGGTTTGTGTCGCAGCCACAACATGTGAGACAGTGATGTCAAAGACAATAATTACTGAATATATGAGGTTGGCTCACCTGAAAAGCTTCTTCCCAGACTTATACCCCTGGGTGGTCATCGTTAAAATGTCACTTCCTTCCAGTGAGATCTATTGCATTAGTTATACTGGCTTTAGTGTTATTTGGATGCCTGTGAACTTTGCCAGCTATCTGTTGGACAGTAACAGTTCTTGAAAAGTTCCTTACCCTTCTTCCAGTAAATTTTTGTACAGCTGGTTCACATAAATTTAAAACAATTTAGTGTGTTCGACAGGAGTAAAAATAGACAGGCTAAATGGTGTCTAATTGAACGCCGTTGGAGCGAACAGAAAGTGTGAAACCGCATTCCGGAAGTCGATTGTGGAAAAATCCAAAAGCGCCCTGGCTGTTATTAGTTCCTACCTCGTAAGACACTGACAAGTTCGCCTCTGTTGTTAATTTTCTGTCGTTTCATATTCAATTTGTCTCAATTTTCTATCAATGGTTGTCGCATTTATCACTAAAAACGAAGTCAGGACTGTTGACCGAAAACTTGTACTACATCCTAAGTATTACGTAGAATATTTTATTCATGGTCATAGTAGTGTTCTAAAGCACTGTTGACTAAGTTGGGGCTGTTTTTACGTCGCAAAAAAATGTGGGGTTTTCTATGTAAGGCAAACCAAGTAAATCAGCTGATGGTGTGGCTATCAAGAGTCCATTAAGCCTGCTTTTTTTGCTGAAGCTGCAAGGATGACTTAAGTTTCAGAATATTTTTTCAATGGATAATTTTTGCCTATTCCAACCCACCCACCCTGACTCCTGTTCCATATTTTTGGCTGCAGTTCGTAAATATACACGGTTTTATGTATGTCGTAGGTCACCTGAAACGTTTTCTTTGGTGTAAGGTATGTGGAGCGGTCAGATCTACAGGTCTCAAAATACATTTGAATTGCTCATGTGCACCGATTGGTGAGAAATGTCGTACATGACAAGAAGACTATAATTAATTAAGCCTCCAAAAACTGATATCCGTAGTTCTTTTTAAGGTATACATGGTAATCAGAATCCAAACAAATCTAACTCATTTAGCTGAGCAGAAAAACACGTAGACTTTTATACCAAAAGCTACCACCAAGACAATAACATACTGCATGAGCTCTCAACCGCTTTAAAAAGAGTCAACACTGCGGCAAAGATGATTATGCCATTGATAATCGGAGGCTTTGGTGTGCACAAGGGCACCCTGAGCCATGTAAAATTCCTAGTGCAGTTTACGGTTCCTTTGTAGTTACGAGAGGTTTAGTTTGGAACACAGACAGATATTCAGTGGAATGCGCGTCACAACCCATTTTGAAGTGCACACTCTAAATGCCATTAAGACAACAGCGGTTAAGTCACCGTTTAGTGTTCAAGTGTGATCAGCAAGTAGTTCGTGTAAGTTGGGACAAGAGATCACGATAATTCATATTCTTCATATGGGTGGCTGTGGATGACCACCATCTGAGGTTATGCTGGACACATGGGACTGTGAGCCAACAGCGATGCGTGACCGATCCCGTATACTCAATTGGTGTATATCATTTACGAAGAGAAGCTTCTCACCGCACTACAAGTTAATAATTATCACATCTAAGTCCAGATTATCAAGTATCCAATGAGCAGAAAGGAAAGTTAAGAATATTGATTGCCTGGTAACAATTAGTCAGACTTTCAGGCTAGCACTTTTAATGGGCTGAAATGAAAGAAGAAACATGGAGGAAACATTGGTTCCTATTTCCTATGAGTAAAGAAAATTAATCTAGTTGGTAAAGTATAAAGTGGCTACCTGAACCGAAGTGAACTTTGTGGTTATGACGCAGATCTAATGCTCGTTAGGTTGGTGGTACGAACCAACTCCTGTGTCTTGCTTACTCCTATATGAGCTTGGGTACCTGACAGCATCTCAGCCATCATGCGTCATTCAAGCAGCAAAGCACCAAAAGGGTTCCACAGATAAGCGATTATTATTCGTTTTATAAAAATGACGGCTGGTCAATTGTTTATGTAACAGAGTAGGGTATGCTAGCAGTGGATTTTTGATTAGCTTCAGTAGTAGCTTAGATTTAGCCCTTGTATTGCACAGCATCACTGAGAAAGATGTCAGAACTTGAAGCCATACCAAATAGATGATGAAACCACCATCAAAGTTAGCAGTAGATTTTCTAGGAAGGTAAAATAAAAAGTTCCTTTCGCTGAGTCAGAAATTATTGATCGAGTCAATCCTAGAGACTGTCCTTTTGGCAAAGGTTCGCACTGTTTCGCGACCTTTTATTAATATGAACAGATAGGTTGGCAATCAGTGGATTTTATAAAAAATGAAGGAGAATATGCATACTAAAAATGCATTCAAAATCCTCACCCTTTCGTTCGATATGGACTGGGCGTTTGTGGTAGTAGTGTCAAAATTATTCCATTTGGACTGTCGTCAGGCACCGAGTTATGTCCAAACCAAAATAGCCGCCCTTTTTATCCAGCAACAGAAAAAACGCCTGACACTCTTGTGTGCAAACGTGAACTTCCATCATCATACAATTGTAGGTGTTTGTTGTTAGCGTTGAATGTGTCAGAAAAACAAATGGTTTCTAGCCTCATTCAATGTTTTTCCACTAGGAACAGTGATTTTTCAAATGTCATTCCTCCGGTAAAAATTCATAAAGGTCCATTATGATTTACGCTACTTTCAAGGCATTCTTACGGTATCAAGCGTATGTTCAGAACAATATTTAATGACCGACATGGTATGCTTTAGAACGTGGACTGATTTTTTCTTCCTGTTGTGTGAGATTTCTGTGGCAGAATCTCAATATAACGGCAGTTTTATCCCATTTTTCCCATAGCAAGCGATAATCGGGCAACAGGTATGGAGAGCGACTTACTTCCTCCCTTTCCCTTTGAAGTTTTGCCTGGCGAGCTTCTTCTTCCTTTCAGAAGTAAGAGTAAAACAAGATGTTAAATATAAACGAATATGCCGCGTGAAATTGGTAAACTCAGCTAAACTGTGCACACACTACTTTATACTGCATATCATTATTAGTGCACTGCTGAACTCACTTGTCGCTCAAGTTCACCAGATTGTATTCGTGCAACCTGTTAAGCGAAAAATAAAAACGTTTCTAAGCAACAGTGTTATCAAAACGCATTGGGGGACAACAAAATGTGCAATACGGTAAATGGAAGAATTGGCAGATTAGTGTTATATTTCACCCAGTGATATTATAGCATCTGTGAGCCCACCACATGAACACATTTGGATCAATAATTTTTTAGCAGAGGTGAAGTGAATGTCAGCCACTGGCAAAAGTAAAAGCATGTTCATTTAGTTAACTGTCATCTTTCTGGAAATCTCAACCCTTATTCTCCTAAAAATTTCATTCTGGAGGCATTGGTCTATCACGTAATAGGATTTTATTTCCTCATCTCCAAAAAATAACTAGAAAAAATTGGCTGTTTTATTTAGAAAAGTTGCATTTCGTCCCAGAAAACAGCTTTGGAAAACAGACTTTCTCCAGCTGAGCGAATTCGTTCTTTTTCACTGTATTGTTAAGTTACTGGAGGGTTCATGCGTCAGATAATGTAGTGAGGTTTCTTCTAAAAATAAACAAACGAATTGCTGGTCAGTGACCCATGGCCAATTTTTATAGGGCTTGAACTCCAACCGGGAGATTGAGCATTATAATCCGTCTTGCAATTGTGACCTGTGGAAAATGTTGCATGTGCATGAAACTATTGTATCAGCCGCTAAAAGGTGGACTTTCAATTAGAAAGACGTTATTGTTGAAGTCATTGTAGACGGCTTTTATCATTAAAAGCCCTGAGTCATTAGTTTTTGCATAAGTCAGGGATTTTGTCAGTTTACTTGGTCAACATTGTGCTTGAATGTTGTCAGTTTGAAGCCCGTTACAGTTCGACTACATGTGGAGGTCCGCTTTTTCACAATACCATACCTACACTTAGGTTGGCGACACATTTCAGAACCAGTTATGGGTCAATCCACAACCTGATTAATATTACTTTTGATTTTATTTAAGGAAGATTTATGTTACATGATGGTAGTAGAAAGGATCAGATTGGACATTGAAAACCTTTCAAGTTTTCCAAATTTATTTGGATCTGATAACATATTTTTATTGAAGTGATATTCTTGAGGAATTTACGAAAGCAGCAGTCAGCGACCCAAACCGTCTATTTTTATCAGCAGTCGTACGTTTAAGGAATAATTTTGAAAAAAAAACAACAAAACAGTTTTGTATCTGTGCGCCAAGTTTGCGTAAAATTTTACAAAAAAGAAGAAAAAAGTGCTAGGCTTTGGGCTTCTATGGAGCACGAAGAAACTTGCAAAGGATGTGAACATTTTCGAGACACTACCAGCCGCATGGCATTACATGGGTTGGCATTTAATGACATACTAAAGGAGACCTTAGAGACAACTACGGTTCGAGTAGCCGGAGTTCAGAAAATTTCGCCATAAGCCGTTAAATTTCTCTTTTGGAAGGCATTTTGTTCTTGAGTAAACACACCACGTCAATTCAGCTGTCACTCTTCAAGCTGATTTATTTTTTGGGTGATATCTTTATCTTGCAAAATATATGACCGTCACTCACAACAGTTTGCTGCGGAACTCGAAACAACTTCGATTCGGATGAACAACACACTGCCCATGTGTAACTCAGATAGCCAACACATATCTTTCAAAAACAACGAGGTAAAACGAATATTTGTGTGTGGTACTAGCGCTTGGTCACAAGGAATAAGGCAAAACTCTGTTCGCTTTTTGGATGGAGGGAAATCCTTTCTATGAGCTTAGCGGAGAATTGGCAGAGCCGGTGCCGTTTAAGCCTGATGAGCTCTCACTCAATCGGCATGTTCCGTAAGACAGAGTGTAACTGACCCATAAAGATACCTTCACAAGTTTACCATTAAGTAATCAAATAAGGTCAATGACAGATGGATTGTAAAGCTTTGCAACATCATAGCCGACCCGTCAATGTCGGAGTAAAGCATTCCACCGGGCTTACTGCGGTTCTTCCTTGTCAGGTAGTACGAATGACTAAGGAAGTGCAGTCCAGTTTACTCCTCACAATGAATCTGGTCTGGAACATCTTGTTATCTAGCCGTAAGCCTGGCAGTAAGCTGCATTAGACGTCCCAGTTATCCCTCTGACACCGCGAAATTGGATGCGCTGACTTCACATCCATCACTATTTCCAGTGCATTGTAAACTTAACCTTCTGTCATTTCATTTAATAGACTGGTTCATCTTATATGTTGGCCTTGCCTCAGGGCAGTGCACGCAGTACACAATGCGTGTTGTTTGCCAGCTTCCTTAAAGAAGTTCAAATAAAAATCCACGAACTCAACCTTCTGTATCTCACATACCCACATGCATGGATAATTTTTCAAGAAATCCGGGGCATCATCGCCGAATAACCACAGTACTCCTGATTCTTTCTTCCGGCGCTTAGTTCCACTTACGCAATTTAGACTTTCACATTTTGACAACCATGAGCCGATTTGCATTGATAATCACATCGACTCATTTCATACCATGAAAGAGCTAAAATGTCGATAAGTATTGCTTATCGTGAGTTCCGAATATCCGGGCGTTTTGATTAACCTTGTTTTTTTCTGTCTAACTGCGCAGATGTTTTTCATACAGCTGTAAGGAAACTCGGATACTCCAGAATGAAGTCAGTCCAGTGTATGTGAAGCTTCAGGCGGAAGGGCCGAAGTTTCTTCACTAGATAGAAATCCGTCGGACAAAAGGGATCTGGCGGAGAGGTGCACTGACACTCCCAAGCAAACGGACAACAGAGAGTGTCCATGAACGTCTCGCGTGAACTGACTAAACATAACAGGTAGCCAGGGAAAGGCAATTTTTGTGAATATTCCAGCGAGCACCACGGGCTGACAAACGGGATGACGGAAATCTTATAATGACATCAGAAACGGAATATGCCAATGGACACGTGTGTTACAAACTCAGTTTCCTTTTAGGGTAACAAATAGTGGGAAAACATGTTCCCGATCGGTTGGCTGCCTCTATGCTGGGGACATAGCGCAGCTGCATCCATTGTCTGCAGAATCATCTTTACCAGGGTACAAGTGGTAAGTGCTACGAACCTGCGCAAGACAGTAACCATTACCACTGCGGTTTGCTCGCGTATGAACCAAGGGATGTCCCTAATGAACTGGAGCACCCTATCTGTGCAGTAAAATAAGCCACCAATATGAAAACTATATGCTGCACAAAAGGCCGTTCGATGAAGCTTAACTACAGTTAGTTGGCGCGTAAATAAACGCGACAAACAAATAGCCTTCAGTATTTCAATCAGTGCGAATTCTCCTAGAAAACGAAGGTCGTAGAGCACAGTCTGCGGTTTGTAATTATCCTGGTTTGTAGCGAAGCCTTAGCTCACACTGGCCCAACATGCTACAGCAACTGCATCACCATCTGAAGCTCTAAAACGTATGAGTGGACCAAATACCATAAGCTCTACAGCTGTAATCTGACTTTGTATTTAAGCTTTAGAGGTGCAGTAGACGTCAATCGATAGAGTTTCTGGAGTATTCAGGAGAACAAGGCATTGGAGGACCAGAGTTTGTGAAGCGAACAAAAACGGATGCCAGATTTATGGATGTGGCGGCGGTCTGCTGCTGGTAGGCTTTTCCTGGTGCCTGATTGTCAGGATCGTTGAAAGTGATTGACATGTGGGATGAGAGAGTAGTTAGAAGATGGTACCGAAGAAAACGGACGTCAGTAGTCAGGTGAGTTCGCTTATCCTCCCCTCCGTCTACAGCGAAAAATGCGGTCTAGGTGACGTCACAAGTTAATGGTCATTGTGACATGTACAGACATCCATCTGAATATCTCAGGTTGTTTATGGGCTGAAATTCTCCCAATGCACCAAACAGAGAGACTATCAGGGTCCCCAGCAAAACATTTGGCTTGACCAGGGGGCAGCGGTTTTTATAGAGCTTCAGGCAGGTGATTCTAGGGGCGGCTTTTGTGAGGGAACATGGCTGCAAATTAAAAACTAAGCCGTGGTGCAAAAACCTGCTTTCTCCTCCACCTTAGTGGTAAGACACGTTACAAAAGTGGATGCATCCCTCAATTTTTCCACTTAACTCACCGAATGAGGCCCATTTTCGTTTAAAACCCTTGTAGTGTTAGAATACTACGTTAATTCAGTCGAGAACGGCGTCAACAGATCAGTTTAGGCCTGGAATATTTTGCCATCCTAGATTATTATTGCCGAACATCAAGCGCACTGGCAATATAAATCATATCATGTATTATGAAACATCTTTTCAGGTATCAGTTTTTTGGTATCACCTGCCCATCTAGTAATTTGGACTCATCAAGCGAACTGCATCATAAATGTAATTGACTGTGTTGGTTAACAAACAGTCAGTAGATTTCCGCTTGCGGGATCTGTGAGGAGCTTTCATTGCACTTCTTGCTTTGTTCAACTCTGAGGCCCATCGAACGTTTTCTTGAAGCCCTTCAAAAGTCACAATAAAAGTATTTTTGTTCAGCCCTATCCTGATGTGTACATTACCTCGAAAAAATCCTCAGTCTAGATCGCCTCTTCTATTTAAGCCTTGTGTATGCACATGTATCAGTGCATCGCTCCCCATCAGGTTCTTCAGTAACATTATTCCCAAAAAATCACATACCTCGCCTTTGTGTCAGCCTCAGAATGGTGAACCAGATACTCCCGCCAAAAGTCTGCACGGCCCGGTCGAGCAAACAAAATCTGGCCGTACTTTTATTTCAAGACTGTGCGGATTTTGACAATATCAGACAGTCCAGCGGATGTGTGACGTAACAGACTGCAGTTGGCACACGCTCCTGTCGAAGCCTGTCATCTCACCTTTACGCATTCCACAGCTAAATATACTTTCATACTGTTAATTAGTTTGGGGCACTAATCGGCATAGTATGGACAAAATCGGTGGTGTCAGGCTACGTGACATGAGAGGTGATTACCGTTGCACGTCCTGTATATTAGAAAATAGCGCTGCGAACAGTTAACCGGTGGACGCATGTCAATAGTGCATAGTCAGGACGCGAAAAACCTCTGTGAGCAGTTCAGCAGCGGGGTTGTTTTATTCCACTTGCTCGGTGCCTATAAATCTTGCGCTGAGGTATACACGAGACTTCATCTTACTCTACACGCTATGGTTCAGCTTTATTACAGAATATCTTTAAAATGAAGCGGACAGTAAAGCGGATGTCGACGACGGCCAAGATTATTTCGGTGGGAATGACTAACTCACTGACAAGACGGGCCAAATACGGTACTTAAAAGGATTCTTCCAACAACCTGTGGAGCACGAACGTAGCTGGGCCACAGTGATCCTCCACTAAAGTAGGGAGAAGTACAGTCGTTCATTTGTCGTTTGAAATATTCAGACGGCATTTTTAACATCAGTAGTTGCATATTCGGTTCCCGACCGAACGAATGCTGCTCTTAGGGCGGTTGAAAAATTCGCTATAGTTTCATCACAGTGGAAATTCCGTGGCTGCGGTTACAAAGTGATTAGAAAACAAATTGACAACTGATGTGCCTGCATCACACATATTCCTTATAGATAGGTGCCATATTGATATTCTCATCAAGTGTACGCTTACAAAGATCTGTAAGGCAATTTTCTCCATGAGATTTTGTTCCAGGGATCCCCAGGAGTTTTGACATGGGGACTTGTATACAGGTCAGCACTGCAACCGTTCATAGTCTCTGCGATTGTTGTGTCCGCTGTTAGAGGTGACAAACAATGTTATACTGAATGCGCTAGGAATCCTCTATACCTTGACTGAACCTGTGGTATTTTGTTAGCTGAAAAATTCACCGTCAGTGAGTTGAAAACTTAGCAAGGCTTTGTTTACTCGTGAGTACTATTCCAGCTCTAGTAATTTTCATTTGCGGATCCATTTTTATTCGCTGTACATTTCCTGTTACCAAAGGATAAATAACATCACTGCAGGCTTGTAAATGTGAACTGTCACTAGTTGTGAACAGTAAACTTGCGGCGGATGAAAACCCATTTATTGTTTTTTTAGTTAATCTTAGTCCTGTGCGAGGTTCTTATAAGCTAAGGGTAGTTCCATTCCGGTCAAACATAGGTGCCGTGACGTCATCTTGCTGGATGTGAATATGGTTATGATATTGTTTCAGACGTCTGTAGTTTAACTGATGAGGCAATAAAATTAAGATAAACGTGTCATTCTCCATTGTGAGATTACAGTATAGGGTATATTTGGAGATGTTGTCAATTGTTAATTCTTTAGGAACATTCAGTCCTCAGCGGTTTACCTCATGTCATTTAAGTAGGAATAACCGATGATTTTGTGTTCAATGCTTCGCTTGCCGACCAAATAAGGTTACTCGGTTGGAACTTCGTAGATATTTAAAATCGTATTTGCCCGCTAATAACTCTGTGCTCCTTCAATCCACAAACTCTTTCAGCTTAGGCCACTTTTCCCATTAAAGAATGAATCAGGAAAAATCGAGTGCTTCTGCAGATTATTTGGATTACCAAAAGTCGTGTTTATGAAGTCTAATTTCAACTCCTCAAAATCGTGAAGTCTAGTTATTGAAAATGCAACATCAGTAATACAATTAGCATCGACGTGGTTACCGGATTGGTTCAGAGGCTATGGGATATCAGTTGCGACCTGCTTTACAAGACCTATTTTATTTTAGATATGTTCTGGGCTCCTAGATAGTTATGGTGATTGATAGAATAATGTTACCACAGAAGTTGCATGGATCGCACTCACAGCTTCTTCCTCTTCCCGCATGCTGCGTCTTCTGTTGATTATCATGGATTCTGCAACCTGAAAATAAATTGCATACATACATTTTATGTTTTTGCGATCACACGCAAGAGGGCCGTTTAGAAAGCTTAGCATAGCAAAATTTATTTCTAGGCAAAACTTCAATTTGCCTGTCATTCTATATGCTTCTCTGCACGAATACATGAACGACTAAATGAAGAAAACAGATTGAGCAAAAGGAAAGACAGCATACTTTCCATATAAAAATTGATAACCATCATATTTTACAAGATTATTCTTTTTCTACTGCATAATATTCGGGGTAGTGATTTAACGAGAATGGATCTTTACGAAAGTAATGTAAAAGTTTCGAACCAGAATATAGGTGAGAAGGCTACTTGCTCTCTATGGCGATCGTAAATTAATGAGTAGAAGTTTAGTTTGCAGAATTTAAACACAAAAGAAATTCAAGTGAGGAGTCATGCGTCATCATCTCATTGTGTTAGATAGTCATTATATCGGTGTATTGGTAGTTTAGATGCGCTGACTGGTTGTAGATCAGGTGGCCGTTTATTAACTTGATAAGCAAAACTATCACTGGGTGGTTGGCGATCATATCTGTTGATATCTCCACGATAAGGAACAAAACGTCTGCGAACCTCGGTGAACAGACCAATGACCGCCTCATCTACAAGTTCGTGTGACATAACTTTCTGTAGATCACCGAAAATTTTTGAAATAGCCGAACGAAACTCTCCTGCATGCCGTCTCAAAGAGGTAATGCGGGTCTGCGCTTTAAGCATTGTATCCATTTTCCATATCGCCTGTTGCATCAGTGAATACATACAACGTGTATTAGAATCGGCGCATATGAAGAGACCAAGACTTGGCTGACTGTCTGACCGATAAATTGCCTTACAAGGGTGGTGGATGCCCATGTGATTGTATGGGCCATTGGACCTGCAATACAGCGCTAGAGGCCTGTTTAATGGAAGCGGTTGAAATTTGTTCCGTACAAAAACGAGGCCATTACTATTCTTTCTCTTATTCGGAGTCTACAAATATGTAAGGCGCTTCTATCCGCCTATAAGACTCTCGCTGGTTGATAGTAAGACTCAGCCTCACACGACAACGACCGTGACATCACTTATGGACGAAACTTTATCATTGCTTTTATTGCACCTATGGATCAACTTGGTGTCAGGATTTGCTTTACTCAGTGGCAGAGAGCATGAGAACGCATTTATTCATCAAACTGTAAAAGTGAATTGTGAGAAGCCTTCATATATCACTTTATATATGCATACCTTGTTGCATCATGGAAGTGTAAGAAGGAAACGCAGAATCACATTGGAGTGTCATACACAGCAGGTGGATACGGCTACTCAAGTATTTCACGCCTTCCGGTTTAGCTATGGTGGATCCAAGAATTCTTTTACAAGGGAGGCATACTGTCGACAAATGTTTATCTAAAGACATCCGTACATTTTTGAAATAACTCAGGGATTCGGGCACGATATACACGACAGAACATGGTATCAAACGAGACACGTCAAATGTTTCTGAATAGAAAGATGTGTTTTGAATCACTGCACCCATGTGCACGAGACTGTGAGCAACCTGCGAAATGAGTTATACTTAATTCAAAATAATTAGTAACCATTTACACCTAAAATTCATTCATTCTTGAGTTTTAACTCGTCCTCCGTAGGACATTTTCTTATCGATATGAGGACGTTTTACGTATTGAATAATTTACACTAAAAATTACAGGCATATCTGAATTCAGTAGTCCGTACGTCAAATTTTTAACTGACTATACTAAACTGAAAGATCGGTTGAATTTCGCTATCTTTAAAAAACCATATTACAGCTTACCTTTTGTGGCTGAGCCAAGTACACATCCAAAGAAGACATTCTGAGAACGAGAGAGATCAAATTTGGATGGGAAAGTGAATATATCTGATTACGTGACTTTGGAGATAAACGTCCTCAATAAATTATAAATTTTTCTTTCAACTGTAGTTTACAAAAGATTTAGATTCTTGCCATCTTTTTAGTCACTGCTAGTGACATAAGTAAGGTATTTTATTTAGTGTGGAAAACACTTCTTAGGCAAAATTTTGAAATGGCGTTGAAAGTTGAGCTTTAAGTTACTTTCAGCCCAAAAAACAACTCATCCGTTCCAGACCATTCATTTTTTATATTAGAACATCAAGATATTTGACCGGTTAACTTGTTTATTAGTCATAACTTTAAAGTCCATGTCCAGCAAAAGCAACTGAGTCCCCTATAATCTTTTTTAGACTATACATATTTGGCTAACTTTCATATGTTCGGACGTACAACACATTTGAGAAGACAAAAAGATGCGTAATATAAAGTGTGGAGCAGTTATTCTTATTCTATGTTTTCTTGAAATTTATGGATTCATGCGAATTATTGCCAGCTGCGTGGACAAACTTCAAACGTTGGTAGATATGTGAACACTAAAGTAGCATACAGGAACCCTGTGTATCTGTAGAACACTTGTATTTTTCGGTTTAGATTGGAGCAGTGGTTCAGTTAAGCCTACCAGATTCTGGTTGCAGGCTTTGAATTTTCGCTTAAATCGTGCGTTGTCGGTCTAACTTTCCGAACTTCTGCTTATAACTCAGTATCCACAAAAGCCCTAGTCGTAAATGGGCAAGTATAAATTTGACCATTGCAAGTACATGATCAATATATAAGATAAAAATAAACCACAAACTTTTAATTGTTTGGCAGCTTTTCTTGAATAAATTCGTACTAAATTTTACCAGGGGCGGCGTTTAGTGCAGGTCATAGATATCAGAAGCCAGCTTACCATCAAAAGCCACTACTGAAACGGTTGAGTTAGCTAGGGAACCCTTCGATAGTAGTGGTTGTTTAGTAGCTATAAGCAGTCTGGCTAAGTGCTTGTGTCAGCGTTCACTATAATCAAACAAATTAGCAAGGGTAGAACAAGGTTGTGCTATTACTTAAGAACCTCGTGTTTTGTAGGACTATTTTCAAGTGGCGGAGTTGCCTTTTTTCTGAAGGCGCCGGATGTAGTTTACCAAGATGGAAATCAATTTTACCGCTTTCGCATCAGTTGTGCCAAACTTACCGACGTTGTTCCGTCTGTCCACCCCCGGAGAGGTAACGCCTAGCGGCCGCCTCTTCCTCAGCTGTCATGACATCTTCATCGCTGTCACTTGTTTCATCCGCGTCGTCAGTCTGTATACTTAACGCCGGAAGTGAAACAAGAGGCTTCGGACGGTTCTTTGGAGGAGGATAATCCTCTTCTTCCGGGTTGACTGTTATACTGGGTGTAGGCATCGTGCGAAATCTGAATTATATATGTAGAGATAATATTAGTTAGCTTTGAATCAACCCCACACCATTTTCACACATGACTCTTTGGAAAGTCTCTAAAAAGTAATTTTAAACAAAAAATTACTCTTTTGTTATGTAGAAAACAGCACTGACCTCGTCATTAATCTAGACAAAAAAGTTTGCAAAATGGATGTACGTGAGATTTACTTACACCGAATAACTATCGCCAATATTCTGCAGCCCGTCGTCTGGACTGTTTAATGGGCTCAACTTAATCTGTGCTACATCACCAAAATTTAATGCACTTGAAATATAATTACCTAGGTTTAAGTGCGCTGTCACTGTTTATTACGGTGGCGTTGTTGAGGAAGCCATATGGGCGCGTATGCATTTCTTCCCACCCAAGGAGACAATGACAGACGATTTATCCGGATAAAATGTATGCATGCAAAGACTGGTAGATAATTAGTAATCTGGTATCACTTTCATTCATCATTGGACTGATAAATCATTCTTAATGTTTTTTGTTCCCACGGACACTGAGATTCACAAAAGAGAGTTTTCGTGTTTTTGTATTACAAGCAGTTTCAGTTTTTCGCTGAACTATCTGCACTGCATACAAGGAGTTTTATCCATATACAAACAGTGTAATTTCTTATAATTTAAAGTAGTAATGACAGCATCTCAACAAAAGCTTGATATAGGCAACCAACGTATGTTATGTGAAGATATTAGGAAATGGAAACGTTTTACATTATAAAAGTAGTCGGCCATGGAGGTTTGGCTACCCAGCGTGATCACCCTTTTATCGTCAGAATTTCATTTATTTTCAAATGCATTGTGCATAGACCAAAATCATCCCATACAAACACATGAAGCAAGATTTTATTTTGCTTTGCTGAGGAACCGTCTGAAACAATTTACCTATAGGGTAGCAGTTTTCAAACCGGGAAAGTACTCTTCTGTAGGGAACGTGTTCCGTGTGTGCCGTTCTACTTAGGGAAGATGTTGTGGGAAAAACCAACGTTACACTCCGTCAAACTGTGGTGACTTGGTTGATTTTTAAACTATTAAGAACAGCTAATGGAAAATAATCACTGGAAACCATCACTTACCCCAGTATTGCCCTCAAAGTCTTGTACCAAGCTTTGTTCCATCCAAGAAAGGTGTCTAACAATCGGTGAGTGGATATGTATGAAGCTAGATCTGAGGCGCACTAGTAGAACGACAATTATTTTTGAGAAGCCTCTTCGCCTGTTCTAAGACGACACGTGGCATACACTCATGATTATAAAAATGTGTTGATTTTAAAACTCTTGGTGGCCATAAGTGTAGACTACGGATATCAGCTTAACGCAAAGCAATTAGATGAAATTGTTCCCAATGATGAACTAAACAGTACGTGCATTATGGAAAACACTTTTCCGATCCATATGAAATTAACTTATTTTGACAAGTTTCTGGGGAAATACTTGAGATATGCGCCTGCAACTTCTCAAAACACAGTACCGATCAGTCGTTTGTGACCAAATGTTCAAGCCCCAATCTACTAGCCTGGATGTAATGAGTCCGAATCAACATGGAGTTGCGTAAGATGCGTTCTGTGACTATTTCGAATAAGACTGTTTAGTGCTTCTCTGGTTTATCACATACAGTTGGTTTACATACACTGAAACGTCAGGTTTTCCCCTGGCATTTTTGCTAAACGAACCGGAGTGTTTTCACGTTCTTCGTTTTAATTCGTGGATGGCTGTACTTAAAAACATATTACCATGCGTATTACTATGTTGAGTACGCTTAACGAGTGATTCGCACTATATATTTGATTTTAGCAGGTTCTTGTTCGATTAGTGATTTTCACTTTTAAACGCTTTAAACTCTAGGGGGTTGCTACGGAACCTTTGTTATTCCAGTCTAACGTAAATGAACGGATGAATGAGACACCCAAAGAAAATTGGTTGATTACAAGACCCGGCTTTTCTGACGGAGTTACCGTAGACCCATTTGCTATTTTCAGGCACCTGGATTGGCGATAACGTACTTGTAGTCAAACAGATGGGAGTATTGTAAAGCTGGTAGTCTAGCAAACAAGATATCAAGCAGTACAAGCAGAGGGCTTATTCACACTCTTTATTTGAAGCCCAAAGTTTCAGTAGTTTTTCGAGTGCATAAACCAGAAAATATTGACTGGTGGTAAGTGAGCCTAATTAGTATCGGCTTATCCTGGGATTAAGAAGAGGTTTCATGTGAACAGACATTCATTTAGCTAAAACTTTCTTGCTACGCGTTTGTTCGCTTCCCACCAATCTGTGTGGGTCAATGTTCTTCTACTGTACACCGTTAAATTATTCTGGCAAGTGGATGTTTTTCTTTCCACATCACGTGTCCCGATGAAATACTAACTTATCACAACAGTGTTGTGAGAGCAACTTTTGGCTCCCATCAAAATCTGTTTAAACTGATCAACTTCTATTTCTAACTGTAATCCGATCTTATACTTGCAGATGTCAAACGACAACGCTGGGTACAAGAACACAACTGAGGAAGGTTTACTTCAGTGTGGCTTGTAGATTTGCGATTATTCGATCACAACGAACTGGATGGATTTTACGCGTACCTTATCCAGCTGTTCAATTACGGTCACAGTAGAACTCAGAAGCGCTTGTTTGGGAAAAGTGAACATGTGAGATTGTGTAGGATGGTTTTACTAAGCATGCGGTCTGAGTGGAGTCTTGATAAGTTAGAATGATTGGGCGGTCATTTTCTGAAAAAATCGTTTAGGATTTTCTCAGCAAATCTACGGAAGAAGTTTGGGGTGCATGATAGAGACTCGAGACTGTGGAATGCAAACTTTCTTCTAAATCCTCATAATCACCAGTGCCGATGTGAAACGTTGACTGTGTTGTTGATACTGAAACATATAAACTTCAAAACAAAAAGTAAAAAAATGAATTTTGGTATATGTCGGTTTTTAGCGATGAGTATTGGTAGAGAATGGACGTTTCGCTGTCCTCAAAAGAGGTTGGGTTGGGTTCATTAAACCGTAAGAAAGAAACCAAGGAATACCGTCTTCCGAACTGATAAAAGATGATAACAAGTCAGTCACCAGAGGCTCTCATGTACGTTATCAGGAATGTGTAACATTATTCACAGGTTTCTGGACGAAAGATAACATTTTCAAGAGACATCCTTCGTCCGGATTGCATTGGGAATCCAGTGTGTCCCTCAGGGGGTAACGCTCTAACTACAAACCGAATGATTTTTTATATGACAATTCCTCAAAACTCAGTAGTAAACTGTAAAAAATGTCCTCGTGGTCTACATGATGAGGTGATATTCATCGTTGCTTAACGGAACAATCACATCTCATCTCAATTACCAGTAACGCGAACACACATGTGCAGCGAGTTAACTGGCAAGCCGGTGGCCACAAAAACAAAAGCGCATATTTTCAGAAAGGCGGATATTTAGGAAACAGCTGCAAAAACCAAACTCAGAGCTCTCAAGCAACATATTCTTTTGGTTTAAAAATCCTGTGCACGTGGTAGGCCGAATCCCCAATTACCCGCCACCTGTTTGCAGTTTATGTATCATTTTCTAAAGTAAATCTTGTGTGCCGAAATATTCGGGATGATAAACATCGATCTCAAGCCGAGACGACGTGTTACCCAAGTCGCCTAACCAATAAGCTACAGAATGTGGTTCCCACCCTAGCAGGTTAATACTTGCGTTGAAGCTAGTATGCGATAAAATAGCTATCCAGGTAGATGAGAAACGCAAGTCAAATTGGTTAGTCCAAGTGATGCGATATGCAAATATCAGCGCGGAGAACGTTCCTTTACGTATAGGAACCAAGAGGCAGATTACGTCAGCCTGCTCTTTCCAAAAGAGTCTGTATACCTGGCAGACAGCTAACGATGTGACGCGAAGCCAAACAACTTGCCTGACTGCTCAACGTAAATATTATTTTGCACGTGTAACATACTCACCTATGTTTGCAATCGCTGTTTGTCCCAAAGAATTTTAGAAAACCGGGTGAGATTTGTGTGAATTTGGTCATTCTTATCAAGGCGGAATAACGAACATCCTAGCTAAATGTAATTTGGCGACCATGAATCCCGTATGTCTACGGTGACCAGGGTAACAGCTGCAACACATTTGTAAAAAAAAGGGCCACACAAAATATTAACAAGCTGGTGATTGGGAATAATAAATTAGGAGAAACTATACACGGCGACTCTGAAATTTGCATGGAAGCGGAGAAAGTGTGGTCCTGATTTCCTAAGCTTCAGGAAAGCACTTAATAACGCAGCGGAAACCCTTCGTTAGTTTATTCCAGCTCAAACCTGCCCTGGCATAAAGACACCGGTAAATTAGTCGACCACTGTGTACATAAAGCACAGATAAGTATTGCTGATGCGGCCAAATCTAGAGCCAACAATCAATGTTTTGTTTATTGCAGTTATGGTGTCTGAGCATGCTGATACAGTCAACCACCGTTTGAGTTCGACGTACTGTAACATGGCTGCAGAGCTTTAGAGGAACACTGGACATGCTACTACACTATACAAAATTTCAGTAGCTGTTTCAAAGAAGTTACGTCGTAAGTATGCAGTTTTAGGGTTCGTGTAGACAGTAACACTACCACGAAGTTTGAACACAGAGATAAGTAAAGCTGTTTAACCTAGGAGGTTTTCAACTAGGTCCGTCTTGCATTCGCACTTATTTTCAGGATACAGAGCACATACCGAATCGCATGACAAAAGTCTGGAAAGTCTTCCGCAGAAGGCTAGTCCATCAATGATACTATTTTAGTTTGTCCGAGGAACTTTAGAGTTAACGACCGGACTCCGGGCTTTTGTTTCGTCAACTGTGGATTTTGTCTAACCCAGCTATTCTGACCGCTAAAGGTGTTTATTTACAGGAATCCAGTTAGTGACAGAGACTTCACTCCTCGTGATCAAATAAGTACCCAAAATATGCCGTTTCCTGAGCATTAAATAGCGCTGAGTT